AATAGTTAATATGGAATGAAACTTTTGCTTCACAGGTCATCTAATAAGCCCAACTCTGCTGCAACTCTCAGATAGCATTATTTTCCCCTGAGTCTGTGTCCGGACCTCACAAGCCCAGCCTTTATCTCTGCAAAGTCAAGAGCCCAAGGGAGTCCAAGGGTCTCAGGCTGTGTGGGTACCCACTGTGGGGGGTATCCACCCAGGGAAGTTCAGGGAAGGGTCTGCTCCTTTCCCCCTTCACTGATTTTTCCAGCTTGACTTCCTGCCCGCCTAACACTTCACAGCTTTTTGAAGAAGTCACTTTAGCAAGGGGGCTGCAGAGGAGGGGACACGCCGATGAGCCCACCATGCGCTCTGGCATGCACAAGGAATAAAAACTTTGCTAGAAACACCCAGAGCCTGCAGCGGAGGAGGCACAGGGTTGCTAAGCTCAGTCGTGCTCTCATCGCTGCTGAGGCCCCGTGTCTTTTCCAAACCTCTTCTTTGGAGGCAAGGGGGACTGAACAAGTTCCCTGCTCTGGGTCCCCAGGAAAGGAAAGTCTCTGCTAAGTTTCAATTTCGCATTTGATTTTGGCTCATTAAGAAACGAGCTCATGAGTATCAGAAGGGTGTAAGGGCTGGGCTCTTGCAGGAGTAACTTCATCAAGACTCCAGCGCCGGGCTGAGATGGATGTGGCGGCCCCATGCGCTGCTGCTAACAGGTTAATGCGCTCAGCTAAAGGACCCCGTGCGGGCTGGGGGCCCAGCGCTTTGCAGGACAGAGCGGGCCAGAGGGGTCTGCTGTGCAGCCCCCATCAGCCGCCCTCCCTGGCCACGGGCCACGCTGTCCGTACCTGCAGGGCAACACCTTTGAATTATCAGTCCTACAGGTTTGATTATTTTTTTCTGCTCTTGTGATTTCCTTCTTAATGAAAAAATCACAAGCTTGTTAGTAATAGAGGGGACTTATTTTCTTTTATCATATTCTTGCACTGTATTTCTTAATTTCTTAAATCATCCACTCACTTCCGATTTAACTGTAGCCACTTTTGCTCCCCCTCCCCCCTTCTGTTTCTACTGCTTTATATTTTTCATATTTCCTTTTCTAATAATAAAGAACCTGAAGGAAAAGAGACAGATGCTGATAATGTCACCAGCTCAGTTCCAAAAACAAACACATGCTAAAGACATATTTCATGGGTCCAAAAATATTCCCCATTCATCACTCCCAGAGAAAGGATGCACCAGCTAATGAGAGGGCTGAAAGCCAGAGAGGCTAAATAATTGTGACATCGTTGTTTTAGAAGATACCATCCCCAACCGCACTTGCCTGGATGCCCTGGAGGTCTTCTTGTCCTTTAACCCTCGTATTGGGGCTGGGACAACTGATTAAAGATCCAGGACAGATGAGGTTCAGAAGCTCATGCGATAAACACACACAAAACATACACCACGCTCCTTTTCATGTGTCCACTCTGACATAATTTTTCACATGTTGGAAATACAGATGATTTTAGCCTGGGTCCATCTGGTTTCTCAAATAACCTGTCTGTTTGATAAATAACATAAATTAAATTAGACAAGACAAACAAATAGTTTTTTTTCTCTCCCCCTTTCAGTCTTTTGGCAAAAGGGGGGAAAAAAAGCAAAAGAAAACATAATTCAGTGGCTGCCTTGAACCCCTGAGGAGCTGTGTGGTCATGAAAGCTATGATTATAAACGTGTCTGCAATGTTAACCTTTAACATGGACCAAAGACCACCCCTCCTTTTTGCTTATGAGTGAGTTTTGTTTTTTTTTTTAATTTCTTCACTATAATTTAGGTTCCTAAGAGCTGATTCTCTCAGCAGGGTAATATTCTGCACTTAACAGCATGCCTGTCGTTAAGGCTCCCACGGTGCAGTCTAGAGGCAGAGCAGCAGGTAGGGGAAACTGAGGCATGGAGACAAGTAGTCATTTAGCCTAGATTATAGCTGCAGAACTAGGATTAAAACACTGGTGCTCTAGCAAGGCTTTAGCTCCAAGTACTGGGCCTTGATCCTCAAGCAAAGCCAAAAACAAACATCACAAATCTGGACTCTGAGCTATAACTGCTCAGCATACAATTAGCAGAGAAAAGCACCAAATGAAATGGAAGGAGCTCTTCTGTCAGGAGCGGCTCTGCCCAGATGAGCCCGTTTCGGGCAAAGGCTGAAATGCATCATTGCCCCTTGCCCTAGGGCTGCGAACAGGACTCTCATTCCCACCCCTTCACCCCTCTCGGCTGTAACTATTAGTCAATCTTTCTTGCTCAGCCAGATTGGCCAGCCTGAGACAACTCTCGGCACTTCCTGCAGCAGAAAAGAGAGAGATTTTTTTTCTCCCTTTTAGCACAACTGCATCATCTCAGTGCCGGGAGGGGCAAACTGAATCGATACTCGAAAATGAGAAGCCAAAGCTGAGTTAATGTGCTAGACGGGAGGTGGGGTGGAGCCCAGCCCGCGTAAGGCTGGACGGAGAGAGACTGCACATAGAGATGGATGAGAGTAGGTCACCAAGAGGGATGGGAGCGCGGAGAAGGACCTGGGCCAAAAATACAACTCTTTTGGCCCTGGTGGCACCGCAGAGTCTGGCACAAGAAGCAGCAGCATCTTGGAGCATGGTTCAACCCCTCCCGAAAGTGAAATTTCGGGTTCTACAAGACTTGCCCATAGCCTCTTATTACTGCTGTGGCAAAACACTGCATGGAATACACGTCCCATACAAGGGAAGTATAGCGTGTAATATAGTGGCTTAATAGTAGAATTTAACATGCCCTGAACTCCTGGAAGGATTGGGGGTGGGGAGGAAGGGGCGTTAAACATTTACTCTGAGCAGCATTAGCCAGAAATCTTCTTCCTATTCCCTTTATTTCAAATTATAAGCTCTTCAGGCCTGACAGTATTTTCCTACTTAAGGCAATTAGCTCTGGAACAAGCAAAACATTTTTTTCCTGGCTAGCAGCTCTATTCCGAGGGGAACGCAGAACAAATGCCATTTTTGCGTCAGGCTACCGCATCCTGCACAGAGGCCAGTAGGACCACTATGGCAAAGCCAGCCCTCTGAAGGTATTCTTCCTCTACTGGACACCTCTTCAGGCTACTACCATCTAATGCAAAAATATATGCCTGATTAAGGAAGTGGCTAATTTGCATCTAATCCTTTACAATGCTGTGGAGCATGGAAAACTATAACAATTTTCCTTTGAGTTAGAGTGAATTTTAAGCTTTACTCATACTTCCTTCCCCTTTTCCTAGAGGAAGAACATTCTATTACTGCTCTCTAGTGGCAGGAGTTAACAGCAAAACTAAGAAAAGATGCTGAATTTTGCAGCTTTTGAATTATTTTTCTTGTAAACCTGTGCTGAATTAGTATAATGTACAGATCAGTGCAAACACCTGTTTAGATAGAGAATTAACAAGATATGCAGTAATCTACTTTCAATTATGGTGCCTTTTAAGAGATTTCTGATAAAAGACCTTCCCTCTCTCATTCGCTTCCTAAAACAAATAAAATAAAATAAAACAAACAACCAAGGAAGCAATTTTTCAAATGCCCCAAATCCAGGTATACTAATTATTAGAATTGCTAGAATGAACTAAAAATAGGTTTGGATTGTCAAACCACTGCACTTTGTAAATACTTACAGGGCTGAATGCACTGTTACAGCAAGTAAGTACTGATTCCATTTGTATACATCAGGTTTTTTTCAGGAAGCCACAAGCCACTTGTACAGCCCTTCCAACCCCACTTTCAGTTTCTCAGCTTCTGAATAATGATCTGTCCTATACAGAGACTTGTGGCCTTTGTCTTGTAAAGTCTACTGCACCTCTAAAGGAGAGAGACATTAAAAAGTGAAAACCACAACATTTCTCTGACAAATCTCATCCGACTGGTAGTTCAGCTCTACAGCAATACAAATAAAAGAAAATGAAAGCCTAGGGTGTTTTACTCTGAAAAAACCTCAAGGTGTTAAAACCTTACAGACCTTTCCCTCAAGCTTTTTTTTTTTTTTTTTATTTTGAAAACATTTTCTGGGTGTTGATTTTATGTACTGCATTCCTGAAGATTACAATTTGCATATAAACTTCCAGTAAGCAAGAAAGACATTTAAGAACCTTTCTGGATGCTGTGTCTTGACATTCAATGAGGCAGGTAATAAATGAAATTAATTCAGCATGATTAACACCATTGCCATCTCCAAAGTGTGTTTGCAAAGAGACCTTAAAGGAGTTAGGAATTGAAACTCAGAGACTTCAGAGCTCAGGCCGCTGTGCACCAATATTTATATCATCATTAGCGCATTCATAATTCAGTCACAGTAGGAGAGAGCTCTCAGCAAGTGCAGTGCTGCCACCACAGTTGTGAATAAACTGGAGATGTGTTTGCAAATTTAAAGCAGCCACAGAGGCGTAAGTGCACTTTACCTCTGCTTACGCAGAGGATGACAGCAGCCAAGCTACTGTATATGCATAGCCAGGAGCAGTGTGGCCAAGTGGAATGAACTCCAGCACTGCTCTGTATGCAAAGTAAAATAAGGATGTCCAGCTATTTGAAAAAAAAATATTCTAAGGGGCTGGACTGAAATGCCATGTCTAGGCTATCAGTTCAAATTCAAAAAAGAGCAGCAAGCATATCTCAAGCCAATGATAAACAAAACCAAAACTACAGAAGCAGTAAGAAGAAATGTATTCTCAGGGCCAAGAATTTTATGCAGATGTAACCCAAATGGAAGGCTTGAGGTCTTGAGAATTTACACTCCAGTAAACATGGGGAGGCAGTTTTTGTTGTATTCCAATATTATTGCAGCTGTTGCTACTGAAGGACAGTTGTTGCTACCAAAACAAAAAAAAACCCAAACCAGAAAAAAAAAACACAGAAAAAGCATAGATGAACATTTTGAAAAAAAACACATGTACACAACTTGAGTGAAATCCTGTAAATTAATTCCAACTGCTTCCAAAATTAAAAACAAGTTTTATTGTAAAATTGCACTCCAGTTAGTACCATAACTCTTTATAAACATAATATACAGTAGAATATTTTACATGTAGCACACCAAGTGTATGCTTATGATGTTACAAAATTTACAGTTCAGGATTCTTCTCTGACAGAGTCAGCAACATAAGTATTTGAAATGAAGTCTTAGGAAGATGTTTAGTGTTACAGAACAGGCCACTGTATCACTATAATCAAGTCTCTACTTCTACACATTCAGCGTATAATCAGAGAGGCTGTATATTCTAATTGCGTCTTAAGTTTCTTTCACACAATCTAGAATAGCTGTGAATAATGGTTCCTTATTATCTCATTTCCTCATTCTAGGGAAGGCCTTTCATTTCTAGCTGTTCAGAAATGGATGATTTGTCATGGAGGACTGCAGCTTGAATGAAAACAAGGGGACAGATAATTTAAGAGAGTCTTCAGTTGTTCATAACAAAACAAAAAACTCCAAAACCAAAGCAAACAAAAAACCTGCACATCTCCTTTTCCTCTCCTACATCTGCCATTCACATTCTTCCTTCTCCGCACACATTCAGACATGTGTATGAATATAAGCAGTAATAAAAACTTGAAAAGAAATCTCTATCATACTGCCTCATAAAAGACTGGGGCTTTTTTTTTTTTCCCTTAAGTATATATTTCAAGCGTAAACTAGAACATCTCAAGATGCCAACTAGTAAATATTTAATGTTAGAGAAAATAAGACATTGAAGGGAGCCATAGTTACCTTAGTAATGAAAGTGTAAACAACGTGTGTCCTGCTGTATTTAACACTGCTTCCTTCTTATCCAAAATGGCAGGAATACCTCCTTCATCTGTGCTTTAAACTTATTGCAGCATCTCTGCATCATACCCATCACATGAATGGTATTTTTCAGTAATGAAGAGATACTATTGAAACATTTGAGACTGCGAGGACTGTATACAGTAGTGTAAGTTTCCTTAAGGCTCGGGCAGAGACCAAGTTAGCATTTCATTCCAATCCAAGCATGGATTTTGTGCTCTCTTGTTTGCCACAAAACATTGAAAAAGACTAAGTGGAATAAACAAGACCATTGCCTGGAAATTACTGGAACTTGCTAAGTGGAAGCAGAGCGAAGAATATATAGCAATTGTTTTCCCTTTGGATAATCGCTGTTAGAGACTTGCAAACTAAACTGCAACTGGCAAAGAGATAAGATAAAACTTCCGGCCCTAAACAAAAATATTCAGCTTTCCAAGTACTGGAATATACTTGGACTTGGACTCGTTTGTGCTGTGCTGTTAATCCTGGGCCGCTTGGCCAGGGATGTTATTATTGCAGTAGGACCTCTTTTCTTCACCTATAAAGGAGAAAGATATATTAGTAAATACAAAATCTCCAAACAGTTTAAATTCTGAATTATGAGAGTACGTATTTGGTGTGAGAGCACATATTTCTACAACTGGACATCACTGAAAATATTTAAAATACCAATGCTGCTAACTGCTTGGCAATGCTTAATATCTGTACGCTTAAATAATCTAGTAACAACAGCATAATCAGCCAACAGTCTATGACACAGCAAAGTATTACACAACTGACAACATATTCCCACATAAATCTTTACCTGAAGTTTTGATTTCTCCTTTGCCTCTTCGCTCTTGTCTGGAGAAAGTGTGTGAAAGACAAAATTCCTTGAATTTCGAGGAGCATTTGGATTAAGATCTGACATTGCCGCTAGTTTCTGAAGTACAGCTTTCGGTCTATTCAAGAGAGACCCATTTTTTAGCTGAAGAACAAAGAAAGGCTACATTAAGCCACACACAGTCATGGCAGTTCTTTTAGTAGGATACTGTTCATAGAAAAGACTACTCCCTCCTAACATGTTACTGAGTATTTCCTCACTACCATACAAAGCACTGATGGCCAGAACGTAGGATTAGCCAACTCAGATACGTTCTACGGATGCAGTACGGAAACATGATTTTTCAAAACCATTACTAACCTGGACGTCACTGGCAGGTCTGAAAGCTTCAAATGGGTTTCTGGGCAACAGTTTTGTTTCTTGTACCACTACTACAGGGCTTGCTAGCAGAGATAAAGAGGAGAACGCCAGTTTTTGAACTTCATGTGAAAGAATATAATTTTATATCAAAGTAAATTTTATATCAAACTAAGGAACTCAGAATTGACAACAGACAATAAATACTGCAGACAAAAATAATCCACATCAAATTATACTACTGATAGATACTGGAGACTACGAAGCCACAGCTGAAAGTTAAGCGCGCTCTCTCTCTCTCTCTCTCCCTCTCTCTCTCTCTCTCTCTCTCATTTGTTTCCCATTTCAATAAGATGTACACTTACCTTTCTTCTGTAAGGACTTCGCAGTTACTTTTTTTGCTAGTTTCATAAATTGGCTATCTTCACCGACTTCCTCCTCCTCCTCCTGCTCTTCATTTTTTTCCTTCTGTAGCAGAGAAGGTATTTTGTTAAACTGAAAAAGCTTACATTAAGAATGAACATTTCATTCAGTAATTCAGGCAGACCAAGCCCTTTCATTACATGAATTTATATATTTGTTCTTAATTTCTTTCTACTGGAAAAGTTTATTGCAATTTGTTAGATACTTTATCATCTTCATTCTATCTATTAATGAGCAACAACATCACATTCAGCTGACAAAGCTGACCTACTGCTGAAACTTCTAAAACATGGTGTTATGTTCCCAGCACAAGCGATCCACTCTAGCTTTGACAGTGACTTGTTTCAGAACATAGTTCCTTGGCCTCTCCCTTCTGAATTAGTTCCTCCCTCTGTAAAATACTTGTAGAAGAGAAATAAAGAGCAAAATTCATGTTGAAAACATGAATGAGAATATGTTTATGAACGGCATTTTCTCCAGAGTGTAAGCTGACAACCTAACAATTTCACATCCGGCATTGGCATCGGGAAGGATTAAGCAAGATACCTTACTGGAAACTAACCAATACCTGCTCACGAAGCCACTGTTCTCGCTCAAATCGCTCTTTCCTCCACTTTGCCTCTGTCTCATCAAGCTCTTCATTTTCATCATCGTTATCTGACTCTCTTTGAAACAGGTCAATCTGTGAAGCATCATCTAGACAAGAAGATAAAATAATTATCTTTTCTAAACAATTCTGGAAAATGTATGTCAGAAATGAACTACATGCAGAATGCTTTCTCTCATTTAGATGGATGACAGATGGAGCCAGAACATTTAGCAACAAAGAGACAAAAGACCCAGTGGAAATGCACCTACAGGGATTACTGGGCAGCATCATTTGACAAGATTAGAATCATTTGGCCAGCTTTAAACACAGAGAAGAACTAAGGCAGGATACTCAAGCATTCTGCAGACAGAATCTGTGTTGCTTACACATATGTAAACCACGTTCTTATTTAAACACACAGGTAACTTAGTAGCCACGAGCGAGTATTAAAATTTACGCTTGCCCTAATCTATTGCTTATTCTTCACTACCATTAAAACATGAATGTTTCTTCTTAATTTACTGGCTTCTATGTAGAACACAAAGACAGTCTCCAGTCTGCACTACTATGAATAAGCAAGTCTTGTGTCAAAGGCAGAGTCAGCGCACCAGGAATTTTCTCTAGCACGTTAACTGTCCTTTGCCTTGTTTGAGGCAAAAAGACTGACTATGGAAATACATAGCATCACTTATTTCCAAAGGAAACATTCAGTCCCTACTATGCAGGTTTCCACCTTTTACACAATGACCTTTTCCAAATTTTCATCCCCGTTTACTGACTACAGATCAGAAAGGTACCTATGTTCTTCCATCTAAATCTCCTCATTCTGCCAGGGCCATCACTGTGTAGGTCCCCATCAATAAGATACCTCTCTTGGTACAAGCGTAACTGACGCTTATCGTCATCAAGCATTGCCTTCCTATTAAAATAAAGGAAAGACGTTTGGGTTAGTCCAGATTATACCTGAGAGCCATGACTTCACACACACAAACATATACCCATACTGTCACTGACATGTGTAATTTCTGGATTTGATTTTCTAATTCCACATCAGTAGGGAGTTCCTCATCAATAATCTCTTCTTCATATTCGTTCAGGTCTTCGCCATCATATTCATCCTCACTTCCCACATCACTCCCTGACAGCTCTGCCTCATCTTCCATGAAATCCTGTAGCTTTCTATAAAAGAATGTTAAAAGAGTTCAGTGTGGCAGACCCATAACCATCATACACAATTTTCTGAAAGCATTGTCTATATTTTGACATAACATTAGCACATATCATAGAAGAGAAAATATGATTCACTTGTAATGTTTGAAAGGATTAAGAGTAGAGTTCTTAGATACACAGCCTGCCAACATGAAACACACCAGATTATTGTCATCCACCAGATTTCTTGCTAGTTGTCTATCAAATGTGAGCATAATAATAGATGTTTCACCTACTAGAATATGGACCTTAAGACATGAGGAATGAGAGCGACATTCCCCCACTCCCTTTTTTGGCAAAAAAAAGCATTGCATTGCTTTCATCCCAGCCTCTTGTTTTCCATTTTAAATGTTACTAGCTCTTCTATGGCCCATCAGCAACATGGTTAAGGTCATGCAACCCAACAGCACCAAACCATAAAATCAAAAACCGGAGCCAAAACCACAGTCATATAAACAGCAGCTCAATAAGAAACAGCTGTGCTTGAGCCACTAACACTGGGGCAAGGGGAGGAACTACAGATTAAATTTCTAGTGCTATTAATATTTTACTCTTTCTGGCAATTAAGACAAAATAAATCTACTTACAGTTTTTTCTTCAAGACCTGTCTATGTCTCAACAGTTCTTCTTCATCACTAATTTCTGCCTCTTCAGCATCAGCATCCTCACTCTTTTCATCCTGTCCCAAAAAAAAAAAAAAAAAAAAAATTCAGAAGTGTAGGAATTTCTGAAAGTGGGTTGCTTTGTAATGTCAGCCTCCTCTGTCCTTCAATCAATAAACATGTACTAAAACAACGCAGACTTTGCAAAGACTTTGCTAAGCTAAAATGTTTTTTCCAGTATACTGGAATATTAAGTAGATATTTTAAGTGATTCAAACTGGTCTTAAAAATGTTTCAGTAACTTCTTCTGGAAGACGTGATACTTTGTACTGATGAATATATTAAAAAACTGAGAAGATAAATGCATTTCTTATAGTCAGAATGCAGTAGCAATCACTTTGTTCCATCAGCTCGTACCTCTTCACTATCAAAGGCATTGTCATCTGTCAAAAGCTGAAAATCACCAAGTTCTTCTTGCTCCTCCTCATCTTCCTCTTCCTCCCTATGGGAAAAATTAATGAAAGAAATATATGCTTTCATTTGACCAACAACGATGGTTTTGCCTCAATTCAAAGCAAGACTGCACCCGCCACGTTAGCTGGTCTCAGGCAATTATCTAAGAAAGAGTCTGAAGAGCATCAATGCTTCAAATGCTTAGGTCCTGACCTGCATAAAACCGTGGGGCAAATACTAATTCCTGAATTTACTGCTCTCCATTATTCCTCCTGGATCCCTTCAATATTCCAAATGGTTAAGTCGCACTATGCTTTTGTCAAGCACCTATATGCCTTTCCAGTTTAACCAGTGGAGAAAATATATTTGCTCGTGGGTCTTGAGGTCTGGTAACAGCCCAGAACCCTAAAGCCCTAACAGTCTTTTCTCAGTTTGATGAAAGTACTTCAACACACCTTTCACTATCACTGAAAGACAAAGATGAATCTCCCTTCACAGTACCCATCGGAAACTATACTTCCTTATGTGTCTGTCAGTATATGCTTCCAATTTAAGGAATGATCACTGAGCAATTTGCAATATTCCTCCCTTCACCTCCAAAACAGACCACACTTTCTCTTGGGTCATTTTGAATTGATGTTGAACAGGAGGAAAACATATCAAGAGTGAAATGTGACAAGTGCCACTATAGAGTCTTGTAAATCTACAAAGAACAACACTAACCTGTCTGTTGGGAAGGAGCCTGAACAAAGCGCTAGAGCTTCTGCCATTGGATCTTCTACGTCACTGTCTTTTTCAGCCTTAGAAGATGCTGAAGATGTCCATGTTGGAGAACCTGCTACAAAAACAAATAAGATGGAAACTTATTAGACAGAGATGTTTGAGCTCCTAGAACATCAGAAAGCATCTTGGAAATGACAAGTTAGCATGCACCTATAAAGGCAACAAATTGTTAAAGCTCTCAGAACTCTCCGAAGTTCCAAATTTTGCATTAGCACCCAGAACTGAAGTATATGTTAGTGTAAAGCTTATAGATCAGGTCACCAGCAAATCCAGGAACAGAATTTCAGGACATACTCTGAGACACAAATTTTCCTGAACAAAGATTGAGCAGTTCTTCCATGTTTTGCTTTTTGTTGCTGCTGGTATTTGGCACGTGTTCAGTTTGACTGCTAAACTGCCCAGAACACAAGTCCAATAATTCATCCATGTTGGCATCCATTGCATTCTCATCCATACTAGCCAGAGTCAGCTGATGCTTTGAGGACTGATATTTATTCCTATGTTGTCCAACATTCAGAAACCTGAAAAAAAGTCTTTGATTAGAAAAACCTTACAAGTATAATTTTTTGACTACTAGCAGAGCTTTTCTCCAGAAAACTTCCTATGATATGATTATTGCATAAGTGACATTATGGGGTTCCACACTTGAATCTCATTTCAGATCCTCCTCGGTCTTTTTGAAAAACTGCCACTGATCTGTTTCTTTAATTAATATATCTTGAAAATGTAAGCCAGACAAATATTCAAATCACAACTTATTTCACAATTGCTGATTTACCTGATAAGGTAAATGCAAATAAGAACACTCAAAAATATTCATGAACAAATAGACCTTAACAGTGACATTTTTTTTTTAATATTGAGAAATACGACTGATTAGTAAAAGGTGGTTCTCAGTGGCACAGCGTACCATGTACAAGTTACCAAAGCACAGAATAACATAGGCTATTTATTCTACAACCCCTCTACGTAACCTAGAGGAACTCCTCTAAATCCCAAGTGCTGATCTATATGTCCTATTTCAGTTAAAGGATATAAAATCTCATCCTTTACACCTGCAACTTACCCATCTGCATCAAGCAGCTGGCTCTGAGTGTCATCTTCCAGAGAAAATTGAAACTGTGATTCTCCAGGCCCTGGAAATAAACTCTTGGGCTCAGGAGAGGCATTATACAGGTCCTGGGAATCTTCTATGGGAAGAGAGGGCTCAGACATCTTTCCTGAGCTCTACTCAAGGGGAAGCAAAAATACACATTTTATTTGCTTTGCAACCCTAGAAATCAAAAGCAAGAACTGGATAAAACATTTAAGCTATTTTAAAGGATAAACATGCAGACTTAAAAGAAGTTAAAGTATGTCCACATTGTTCCGATATATCATTAAGAGTTCACTGACATGAGATGTTGCGTAGCCCACGTAAGCATACTTTAAAAAAAAAAAAAACATATTGTAGATATCAAAAGTGGTTATAACATCTTTTCTTTGACACTTTAGAATGTTAGCTTTTATAATGTCTTTTTTATCCATTCTAACGTGGAGACATTTTAAACTCTAGGGAGAGCTTGCTTTTCTGAAATCTTAGTCATATAAAGGATATTAGCTAGATGCCTTCTTCTGCTATTATTTTTTTAATACATATGACAATCAGGATTAAATATATTTATTTATTACCCATTGTGTTAGTATATGACGCGAATAGGACCGAGAATCTTACCTTGGAAGCAGAGCTGATAAAGCTTGTTTTGAAAAAACCTGGGGAGGGGGACCTGAAACCTCCTGCTGCAGATAAAAAATTCCCTCCACGTGACATCTGTTTGTTGCAGGGCTGATATGATGGAATCATGGAGCCAATCAGCTCAAAGCTGCTGTTATGGCTATTCTCTTTTGCTGGTGTTGGCAGAGAAAATGAATCATCGTCTTCTAAAAAGAAAGCAAATATTTTAATATAATGCTTAACTTCTGTATTAAAAGAAAGTTTTCCCACTTTCTAACCAAACCACAAATGAATTAAATTCTTCCTGCGATATATGCATGGGGCATGAAAAACAGCTATTTGCTGCTTCTTCATGACATCTTTTTATGTTCTGGAAGACAGCTATGTTCTCCCCTGGTCTCTTTTCCAGATGAAATAGATCAACTTCTTTCAAATTTACAGTCTGCTCATCTACTGTGCAGCGTGTCTACATCTTATCAAAATGCACCACCAAAAACCGAAGGCAACATTTCTACTGAGACCTCTTTAGCGCTGTATCAGAGTTTTCTAGTTTGAAGAAATTCATATTAAAGCATCCTCAAATATCTACCTTTTTGCAAAAGCATCATATTCTTTTACCCGATTTTATTTGTGGTCCAGTAAAACCTTCAGATGCAACTCTGCAACACCAACATCTTGCCAGAAATACGTTACTTTGTGCTTGTATGTTGGACTTCTTCATAAACAAGACATACTGCACTTTTCTACAGAATTTCATCTTACTGATTTCTGATTGTTCCTACATTTTTACCAATATCATTTTGAGCTCTATTCTCCCCTACTTCTTTCAAGCCCCCCCAGTCTTTCATCAAAAAAATGTATAATCATGCTTTCCAATATATACAGGTGATGAAACAACAAAATCATTGAATACCAATCCCAATTAGAAATTTCTACATGTGCCCTTTGGGGGGGAAAAAAAAAAAAAAAAGTAGCTATAATAGAAGGTCTACTTTACCTAACTTGGTAGGTCCTTTGTCTGCAGCTTCTTCTATTTCAAGTTTCTCATCAGGAAGAGAATATCTGCAATTTATTAAATAAAATATATTTGTTAAAATATACCAGACAAAGTTCTATTATTTAATCAAACCTAACAGCAAAAAAATACGGTAACACACAAAAGTCTACTTAGTAGACTGCAATCAGAAAATTCAGCTAATACACAATTACAGTTGTTTGGTTTTCTAGCAAAATATATATGAATGCACATGTAACTACTGGAACTGGACAGAAAAAACACTCGTAAAAGGCACTTGAAAAGGACATCACATATCCTTACATTAAAGCAAGTAATACTTGCACTAAAACCAAACTCTCTACCATGTATATTAATCAGATTTAAAATTGCTTGGACACCATTTCTAAAGGTTGGTTCATTTACCCCATTTTGGAGGAGCTGTCTTTAAACAGCATCAACGTAGACTCCGTTGAAGATGGTTTGGGAACAGAGTCACAGTGTGCAGTTTTATCCACCTTTTCTCCATCAATTGATTCTTTATCAGTTTCTTTTTCACCATCTTCAATGTGTTTCTCTTCTTCATTATCTTCCTCGGCCTCACCAAGGAGAAACTCCACAGTCTTTAAAAAACAAACAAACAAACCAGGTATATAGTGTTTACTGCTTTGATCCGCCTACTTCCATGCATACTTTTAGAAGAAAAGCATTAACATATGGAGGATGAAACTGACAGACATTTTCAGTTCTTATATATGCCTATCTCACTCTGAGCAAATTGGCATAGAGATGCTTGAAACAGCCAAGCCATTTCGATCCCTTTTAAAAAGGGAAAGCTATGGCTAACCCTATCCCTGACCACGTAGGTGATCTCAGTTAAGCATGCATACACACCACAGAAATTGTCCCCCATGTACAATGAGCCAAGGATACATAAAAAGAGCAAGTGGCACTAGAATCTTTCATACGCTTATTTTTGTTTTCAATAGTGTTTAGACAAAGAAATAAACTACTGGTAAGTTTTCAGTAAACAAAATCCTGAACATTCTAATTGTAACAATTCTTCATACTCTTCAGAACTGTTTGGCAATTTCCGTCATCTTAATAACATAAAAAATTCTAATTTAGTTATGAAGGGTCAGCAGAACTGAGGAGCCGACTAGGCTATGTAAAAATGCTGCATATAGACCTCATGATTGCCTTCTTCCTCTTCCTCAGACTCGCATGTCATTTCTTCCTCCTCCTCCTCCTCCTCTTCTTCCTCCAACATGTCTTCATTATCCAGTTTAAAGAGAGCTTGCCGCTTTTGGCGTTCCTCAATCCTGCGGAGTTTCATGGCCTCCTGGAGTTTAGCCTTCAAAGCTTGTAGCTTTTCACCTACACAGAAATGAATAAGTTTATATATTAGATGTACTACAATGACTCCTTAAACTTTATTGCCTTCAAACATCCAATTTAACGTAACTATGTGCACAAAAAAGGGAATTAAAAACCTACTTATTTTAAAATGCTTTTTTATGAATTGATCTGCCAGCTAGAAGAACTAGAGCATCTAGCTTCAATGAGTTCCATTTAGGGAGGCAACACAATCTCATGAATTATCAAGATTTCTCATTATCCATAAATGCCACTGGCACAGTCCTCTGAATGAGTAGGGTCTGTCTTTCTACTGTGTCTTTCGGGAACAACAGCTTCCAATTGCCATAGGCAGATGTGCTATAGCACATGAAATAATTAAAAGCAGCTAAAAATAATACATGCCTATAGTACCAGCCAAATCATCTATTTCTTTTAATGGATACTACGTGACAGTCACATTCCACATGTATTTTGTTTGCAAATATACATACTTCTATTAAGAAACTGCAGTATAAAAATAAATAGGGATGGAAGAATTACTAAATGAGAATAGCACACAAGGAATTTGAGAGTTACTTTTAGAGGGTTAATGGAAGAGAATACGGTGGATAAATGTTTATATAAATCTGACTTAGAGCAACCTGTTCTTCAATGGCCAGTACTATTTAAGAAGTTTTTTTTTTTAAATTGAGAATACTCGTTAGAAAAAAATACATATATCCAACGAAACAAATACACGTTAATTTTAGAGATAAAAATTATTTCATTTGTGTTTCATGGGGCAGACTGGGGATAGGAGAAGATTGGGGGGGGTGGGAAGGCAAAGTGTTTTCCAGGTCAGCCATCATTACTTCTCTTCCCAAACCTACCTGGCTTTGTGTGGACTGTTTCATCTAAGCTTTCTGTAACTAATACTGCTGGCACCACATCTGCTTTTAGTTCCTCTTTTCCTTCAGATGTAGTCTCCTTACGAATAATGTTCATGTTTATGGTCCGTTCAACTTTGGATTTCGACGTTTGAAGAGTGTGCTTCAAGAAACGTGCTTTCAAGGCTTCTAATTCTTTAAATGCACATTAATTACATTTCAAAATGCAAATTAAATGAATTTGATAGCATTTACAAGAGCAAAAAACCCAACAGCTTGTGTGTTAAAGTTGTAACAAGAGTAGGATGAGAATTTTTTTTAAAGGAAGTTAATTAAAAATTCTGAACATTTAATATTTTAATGCTTGTAAAAGTTACCACACTATTCGATTAATAATATACTAAGTCATTGCACAGTATTTTGCTGTAACTTGCACTTAATTGATATTAGCTAATATTAAATCACCTACCACTGACTGTGATTTATCCACAGTACCTCAATTCACTTACAGTCTATCCTTTCAGCCACCAGGCATTTCTAATTTTCTGTTAACATAAGTATTTAAAACTACATTTATAGCTGAAAAAAAAAAAAAAAAAACCCACTGTTTCTTGGCAGAGATCAGTTTTCTGCGTACTATGAAGGAAGCAGCATCCAGCTCAGATATCCTCTTAATACCCTCTAATATATGTAGATTTAATGGAATTATAGAATTGCCTAACCATTTGCAATCTTTCTCCGAAAAAAGTTAAGTTATTTAATATTGAAGAATAGCTCAGGTGTTCAAATTCCAGTACCTAAAAGACATTCAAAAACATTCTTGCTACAGAAGTAAATTCTGCTTGCTATCCAACCATGACCTTTACAAAATCAGGGGTAAACACTTTGGAACACAAGCCAATTTTGCTTCCAGATAACCACTGCATGCCCAGTTTTGGATCAGTTTGAAAAAGTACTCCCTCCTGCTTTAAGTACCGATATAATTTACTACAGCAGAACGGAAATAAATTACTGATCATTAAATAGTTACTACTGAGCATTCCTTCAAGCTTTCAGATAGTAATGAGTCCGGACTTCTCTTTTAAGCATCACAGGAAAGAAAATGCACACCAACATAAAGCAAAGAATCTGCACCAGAAAGAGAACGTGCCTGACCCTGCTCTATCACCATTGCCTAAGCCTTTCTCAGAAGCTTTCCAATTAAATTCAGTTTGACTCTGCTTACTTGGGCAGATCTGACAAGGTTATAATAACAATAATAGATACCTTTATTTGAATCAGATTCATCAAGGTTTATAAAGGACTCATTGTCAGCACAAATCCTTGGCTTGATGGACAAGTCTATTCCCAGTTCCCGAAGTTTATCCAACTTGGACTTCCTTACTTTTTCAGGCTGTGCCACCAATCTAGGTGCCACTTGTTGATCGTGTTCTTCACACGCTGCTTCTGGTGCTGTGACGTTTTGCTCAAGGGCATTTCCTCCAGGTGCCAGAGGAATTCCATTCTCCTTTTGTTCACTACAGTCAGTGCTTAGCAAGTTAGAGTGTTGTTGTTCTTCTGAATTATTAGCAGCTGTTACAGTCCTAACTGTATGAGAATCATCATCATCCTGCCTGGGCTTTTCAGCACAGCCTTCTGTAAAGTCCTCTGCTTCATCAGAAAGGAGTTTGTTCACAGTAGTATTAACATCTCTGCCAAGGCTTGTTTCTGGTTCACTAGCCGCTGATTGATCATCTTCTATCCGCCCGTCTTTGTGATCCACGCTTAAATTCTTTGTACCTGCAGTTTCTTCATCTAGGGAGATCTGATACTTCATGGACCTAACAAGGCAGAAAGAAATATACCATCCATTAACATGGCTACTGTGAAAGGAGATAAGAGGTTTAGACAAGACTCAGATAGAAAGAAACCATTTTCTAATTATTGCCATTAATGCATAGGAAGAGGTGAAGGACAGAAATCTGGAAAACTTTATTTTAAGGAAATATGGAAGCTAATGTGGTTTGAGATTCTACCACTTCGTTACCTTATCACAACACAGTATAAACAAATCGAGAGTTTTCGTGACTACAGTAGTATTTATTATTTTACTCTTCACTATTCAAAACAAGACATAGTCCAAGCAAAGAGTTGGGGTCCTGTCTAAAGTACTTTGAACTACAGCTTTGCAGGAACATGTTACTTTATGTGGACTATCTATTAGGTCCTGATTACTTCAGTGGTATGACTGTATTAAGGCTGCCTTACCTTAACAAGGATATACTCCCAATTTCCAGGGGTTTATGGAATTAAAGGTACCAAACAAACAGCAGCAGTTTCTTAATAAAACTTGGAAGTCAAAGCAATAGCCACACTTAAACTAGAAGCAATATGTGATTGTATACAGAGCAGATGTGTATGTGATACTACTCCTATACCATGCCTAATGCAAAGTCTGGTTATCCTCAAAACTCATGGAAAAAAACATGAGGAAGGCATAAATCCTTACTTCAGCAATGACATGGCATTTCCTTGGCACACTGGTCGAGGTCTACGCTTGAAGAAGTCATGAATGCTTTTGGTCTCAGGCACATGATATGGAAGAGACAGAGATGACTCTACCAGAGAAAGGAGGTGAAAGAAAACAAAAAAGTAACCAAAGGCATTATATTATACATTGATTTGGTAGCTGTAAAGTTCAAAGGAGCTTGAGGTAAGTATTTTGCAGCAAAGACGTCTGACTAGGCACAAACAGCACAGTTTAAATCTGAATATAGCAAACACTGGTGTTTGGGAAGAGTTCCAACAGCTACAGACTTGAAGAACAAGTTTGCAACCTGCCCAGAATTCATTAGGAAAAGGACTGCGTTGTTAGTATCGGAATGGCAGGACCAGTTTCATTTTTATTACATGCCTTTCTAAGTTTCTAAATATTAACTAACTTTATATAACTAGTTAAAGGCAAATTTATAGGCACAAGGAGATACTGTGTTTGCAGCAGGATTTTTTCCTTAATTACAAAGCTACTTTTAAACAGGTCCTTGATTAAAAATGGTCTTGCAGCCATTAACCCTGAATGATTCATGCTAGGTGAAAGCAGGATCTTGCCCCTCAGATATTTTCTCTCAATTTCTCCCCTGAATATCTTAATAGTTTATATCGCTTTACTTACAAAGAATTTAAGTTTACCTCGAATGAGCCGTTGGGTCTCACTATGTAGCTGTTTAATGGCTTCTTTACTTAACCTTGCTGCTTTCCGCTCCTTAAGAAAACAAAACAAAGGCCTCTGAAGTCACAAAGCAAAATATGGGTCTATCCCTACACTTTCTAAATAGGGTGTTGTTTTTCCCTTTCAAATAGCAAGAAGCCAGAATAAAAACAGCCAGTCAAAAATGAAAAGGAGAACACCAAACTAGCAGAAAACAGGACAGTTCTAAAAGGACATCACACAAAAAACATTTAGAGTCACTTTAATAAACAATGAGAGCTTTGAAAAGAGGAATGCTTTACCTTCCTCCTTGTTTCTGTTAATATGGGTTCCTCATTCTCATCATCAAATACACGTTTGTAGCCTTCATCCTCAGAAAACAGGCCTTTGTTCTACAGTGCATAAGGGCAGATTTATTTATTTCAATAGATACACAGGCACTACCAAGGGCAAACAAGTCAACAGTCAAAATTGCACAGAATCGTCGCTGGTCACCATAAGTAGTAAAAGGGGATCTGCAAACATCCTCATAAACCAACACAAATGCTGCACAGTTTTTCTGGAAGATTTCCAAAACTTTTACTGCAGTGTTACCTTTCCAGGATAACACCCCTCTTTCCTTAAGGACAAAAAGCAGAAGACTGCTTTCTCCTCTTCGTTATAGCATGCTCAGGTAAAACACTTCCCACCAATAATCTTCTATTACTATCCAATGTTACCTTTTTTTTTTTAATTTTGTCTTTCACTGCTGCTCGTATTGCTTCTATTGACTCCTCATCTTCTGGGAGGGAATCATTTTCCTCTTCCTCTTCTAAACCATTATCGAAAAGTTCTTTGTCATCAAGAAGACATCCACTGTCGTTAAAAGGATATCTCTCGCCACCGTCTACCTGCTTGTCATAAGAATATAGTACTTGCATAGTTCATTTCAGAAGTACCTCTTCAGCCTTTAAAATTAATTTAAGACTACTGGTAAAAGGTCTTGATGATAAGAAGTTAAAAAAGGTTTATGTCACCGGTACTGTAACATCTTTGTGTCCTGTGAGCTGGTCACATTCACTTTATAGCACTGCGAAGTTGATAAACTAATTTACAGAACAACGTTTCCTACAACTATAACATATAGGGACTTTGAAGAGCTACTAAAGAGCAAGACCACTTAGACAGAATAAATTAATACTTCAAATATTTTATAAATAGCAACAATGAACATCATTATTATCCCAAAAAAATGTTTATCATTATTATCCCCAAAAATGTTTTTTTTTTCCCAGTGTTTCTACTGCCACTCAATTTGAACTGATGCCATTAGTCAGCATGATCTGCTTCCATCTTGTGATGTTACAGCCTTATAATTGCAAGGAGGTAAAGAGAAATCTTGATGTCATCTAACTATTGCTGACAAGCAGGATAAGGGAAAAATCTGAAGCATTACACATCACTTTCAAGATTACAGAATTACCAAACTAAAATAGACTCCTATCAACACTCCTCTCCTCAACCCCTTCTTTCTCAAGAGGACACCCATTATCATCATCCCTGCCTGACTTCACATGCACTGATGTTAAATCATTGAGTGCTAGGATTTGTACTTTCTCTGTAAATAAAACTGGTATCTCTATATAGCAGAACTATAGACCTCTGTGGACACAATGCCTGCTGTAGTAATGTGGACACAAGCGATGCTGAAACATTGAAACACAGTAAGCAAGCGCAGAAATAGAATTTAACTTAGTTGGGAAACCATTTGGGATTTTCTGCCAAAAATATATACCTCTGCTCTAGGTTTCTTTTCTTTTTTCAGTTGCTTAATGGATTCAGTCCTTCTTTCTTTCTCCTTTTTTCTCCTTGGTTTTCCTATAGATTTTTTTGCTGTCTCTTCTTCAAAATCATGTTTATGTTTTCTGTATTTTTTCCCAGATTTTAGGGGTCTCTCCTCTCCCAACTCATTCTCAGGAAAGTCCGACTTTTTGCTCGTTTCAAAGTTTTCAATTTGCAATCGGTCACCAGTGTCACTGTCCTCACTATCCAGCAGACCTTGGCGAACTCGATGAGATTTTTTGTTCTTCTGGGCAGTAATGTTCTCCTTTTCCTCTCCATTTTCCATGACTCCACCCAGAGTATCATTCTTTTTAGAAGAGCCACTATCTTCTTCATGTTCACTTTCACTATCCCGAAGCAACCTTTTGCTTTTTGTTTTTTTACTTAGAAAAATCTCTTCCTCTGAATCTGACAAAATATATTAAAAAAGGGATGCATGTTATAGAGAGGTGAACTCCATTAATAAGCAATCACTTAAATACAGCCTACATATAAGCCTACTAAATTTCACAGATTTCAACAATTATAGCAAAATAACTTGAATTCAAAATCCACTTGTTTCCTATCATGCAATACATAATTGACCCAAACTGATGCTATAGGTTTTTAGACTTAAAAAAGCTAAAGACCATTCACAAATAATTAGTAACAGCCCCTAAAATAAAAATAAAAATACAGTAACTAAATAAGTGCATATCATGTTGCCCTTGGTAGATTAAGCAAATCAAAAAAAGAAAGAAAATAAGCAATTAAGATATTCACATCCCATTTATCTTTTTGAACCTCAAGAACTGGTTTTCTGATGTTTTCAGATATCTGTCTGCCCGCATTCTTAGCGACCAAAAGGGCAGTTTGGATTCATACAGGTGCAACAAAAACACGCAACTTTCAGAAGGTCAAAGATCATGTAGTCTCAACTTTCACTATTGAAGACAATCACCTCCAGGCACGATTTACAGAAATATTACAGACCTCTGTCATCAAGAGATGCTCTCTCCTTGTTGAGGTGACCTGGAGAGCCTGTTTCACAGCTGCCCTGTCCACTGTCAGAATCACTATCAGTGGTTTTCTGCAAGTCTGATTTCAAATCTTCTAAGTGAAACTACAAAGCAAAGTAAAATCATCCTTAATATGGTAAGTGTTGTTTATGTAGTAATGACTCATGCAGTTTAACTTAGTCCAAGACCTTGGCTAACTCTTTACATAGGAATATATGCACACATATTATTAAGAATTAATTCACCTTTACACGGAGGGGAATTATGCAACATCAACCTTTATTGGCTTTTAAATATGTTTAATGTGAGCTTGCACAAGGAAAAAAAAAGAACATACTGGAAGATCTCTACTGACATTACTCAAAATTACTAGAATGAAGTAATTGATGAGAAACTTTGAAATTTCATCTCCGAAAGCGGCATTTTACACAGTGCAGGGGGAGGCACCAGACGCTTGTGGGTGCTCTCTAGAAAGCAGCCCTGAGACGAGGCG